CTTTCTTGGCCTCCTTTATAAGAACACTCATCCCACGCATGAGGGCTCTGCCCCCATGAGCAAATCACTTCCCTAAGACCATACCCCCTAGTATGATGGGAGTGAGGATTCCAGTACATGAATGTGGGGGAGAGATAAACATTTAGACCATAACACAGCGCCAGAAAACTAATATAGTCCCTAAAGGCTAAAGGCCTCTTCAGTAATCTTCCTGTCTGGCTCCTCCTTCTGGCATATTTTGTTTCCCTTAGCTGAAGTAAATGATTACAGGATTCTGAAGGGAATTCTTCAAATCATGGGACTTAATTTCTGATCCTGGCAGTCTAAATAGAGCTGACTCTTTAGCAATATTCTATGCTATGTCTCAGCTGAGCTTGGTGAAATTTGTAGGAGCTAACCAGGTGAGAGATGGGGAAGAGTATTTCAGAGAGAACAAGCAGTATGTGCTGAGACAAAAAGACAAACAAAAATAAGTTTGGAGAACTATAAACTGTTTATTATAACTAAAGCATACATTTCAGGAGGCCAAAAAAGGTAATGGACTTGGGAGGTGAACATCAGCAAACCTTTTGACTCAAGCCTTCATAACCCTCATAGAAGAGCATACCAACTGAAACTACCTTCATCAATATTACAAGGATGTGTCAATAAAATAGCCTACATTTTGTGTGTTTCATACCTTTAGGTTTGTTTGGTTTTTTAATATGTAAGGGTTTTCATATGAAATGACATGTACCTAACAACGTCTAACTAAAATTTCTATGAAAAAGAAAAGAGACAACACATGAGTAGCCAAAACTGATTAACAGGCACTCTGGTATCAGAATGTACCAAAAAAACTTCACTAACTATAAATAAATGGAATGTGGGAAAACCAATGAGTTGTTTGCCCCAAGCTGTGCCTTACCCACCTATAAGAAGTGCAAAAAAACAGAAGATACTTCATCCCTTCACCACAATCTTCCCCTTGATTTGGAGACCCCAAGTCTTGACCAACCAGAAAATTACACAAGTGCTCTTTCCTTGTGCAGCTTGAGCACTATGGTTCCTCACATCTCCTTTCCCTTCCTCCCCTGCCCAAGCATACGCACATGTATGCTTAACTGTACACCACTCTTCTGTGCCTGTTTGGAGAGCTCAGCTGTCAATAATGACAGCAGAAAATTGAAGTAAGTGAGGTGAGAACGGAAAAATATGACTATGGTGCTTGCAGCTGGTGAAGGTAATATCTGATAATAAAGTTGTAGAGGTTTGAACAGAGAGGAAGATCGCTGTCAGTTGTATATGATGAGGAGCATATAGCTTATGGCATACTATACCAATTTGGGGTGTGTGATATCCAACAAATGTGGCAAGAAGATGCTATCTCTGTTCTACCAAGGTGAAATGCACCAGGTGTATGCCTGAGAGACACCAGGAATGGATGAAAGTTGTCATCTGCCCTTGACTTCAAGTCTAAGTGATCAGCGAGCAAGACCAAAGGAAATCAATGCAACTCATCTGTTAGGTTGTACTGAATGTGAATACATACTCATTTGAAGCACAATACCTAATTAAACACACACACACGTGCACGCGTGCACACACACACACACACACACACACTACAAAACATGGAAAGGGAGCCACAATTCTGCAGGTTCCAAATCTCAACAGAATTTTGAAATTGATCTACTCTAAGAAAAAATTAAAAAACCATTTTTTTAAAGAGTATAAGAAGCCATGTCCTCTATATTTCAGAATTGGAAAGTAATCAACATTATGAGACATTTTGTGTCCAAATGACACAAAAATGAAACTTAAAAAGCACAGAGCATGAACAGAAGAAACTAGAAAGAACTTTGGTAAACATGGATGGTTTCAAGAAAAATAAAACTGCTACAGCAGAATTAAGAGATAACCAGGAATCAATATATAATGTCAGACTTAAGAGGCTTTCACAAAGTCTAGAGGAAAATAACAAAGAAGAAAATTAGGATAGTAGATATAAAAGAATAAGAATAGAGATTCAACATAAGAGGTCTTGGTATTGTGAAAAAGAAAACTAGAAAAAATGGAAAAAGGAAAAGGGAAGTCCCAACTAAAGAAACTTTGCTGAGCTGGTACAGCTGTACAGACTGCGGAGACTCAGTGTTATGTAAGCTAAATTAAGAAAAATGTATGCACATCTATTCAACAAAACTTTTACATTACAAAGACAAAGGCAATTATTCAGGGACCCAGGCCAAAAACCCAAAAAAACTAAACCAAAGCAAATAAAGAGAAAACTAATTATATATGACCAAAAATCAGACTGACATCAGACTTCTGCAATAATAAATGTCAGAAGACACTACAGCCATGTACATGGACTGCAAAGATCACAAAAATGTAACTGAAGTTAAGTCACATTATGGTCGCATAGATTTGGAGTCAGGGCATAAATCCTGGCTGTCCCATTGATATATGTCCCCTTGGGCAAGTCACTTATTGGGCAACCCCTAAGATGGTTGTCTCAATTAAATAAGACGTGTTTGTCTCGATTAAATGAGATAATGCACAAAAAATATTCACAGAATATTCACACCATGCCATTTTAACTTGATAAACTCAGTTAAGTTGGAATTGAACTCAGGTCTGCCTGAGTCTAGAATGAGGCTCACAGAAGTCCTGCAGTCCTGTCCTGTCTGGCTTGACATTGGAGGTTTGGTACTTACTTTTGTTATTAGAATTATAGTGCCTATTATGGCAACTAGAACCCACTCCCACATTTAAGTTGTGAACAGCACTTTGAAGGTCTTGGGGTAATGTAAAAAAACATGGGAAAAAATAAATATTTTATTTTTTTCTTACAAACGAGGTCTACATTTATATCTACATTTTTAACAAATGAGTTTGAAACCTACTTAAATTTTTTGTTTAGAAAAAAATTTCTTTATTGAGTGATAATTTGCACAGTAAAAATACTAATCTTAAGGTCAATCGAGAATTTTTAAGCAGTAGAAAATTCAGTTTCCAAAATTTTTTAAGTCTTTAGATATGGGAAAAAATAAATATTTTATTAGAAGAATCTTAAAAATTTTATTGGTCGTGTTAAGTCCTATACCATTCAAATCAAGCAATATCCAAGTTAATACTTAAAATTTTTTCCCTCAATCTGCTTCCCCTGCTGTCAGCGTATAATCAAGAAGGAGCAGGAAAGTTTCTGGTGCCGTTTTATACAGAGCATTATGTCATATTATACCTGATATCTAAGAAAACACTACCTGATAACTCCTAACAGATCTGAAAAAGTAAATTTTGTATAATGTGTAAAGATTAATAAATATAGGTTTGTTGTTGTTGTGTGTGATTTTTTTTTTTATCAAAGGGTCAGAAGGTTCTGTAGCCATAAACCTGGACTTTTTAAAGGGTCTGAAAATAAATTGCAAGAAGTGCAGAAGACAGGAGATGCTTCTATTGTAGTTTATTTGCAGATATGTGCTAATATCAGCTCTTTATATAATTATTAATATTCTGCAAGTGTCCTTGCTATTTCTTGTTCAACTTTCTCTTACCTTCCTAGACCTGCAGCGTCTGATACAGTCATCAGTTTATCTGACTGGCAGGCCTGCGTATTCATCACTTATTTATTCATGTACCTAAAATGGCATGAAACTCTGGAGGCCACATGTTCAAAACCCAATGTCAGGATACTTATCCGGACCAAATAATTTCTCTAAATGTTATATCATATATATAAAAAGTCTTCATAAAGTATAAGCAAAATAAACTTGTTACCTATTTAACTTACCATTTTCTTTAAACATAATAATATCATACAACATTAGAACTTCTCCTTTACAAACCAAGCTTGCTGTTTACTTTTGCTTGACTTCTTCTGATGGACAAGATGGAGAAAGATAAAGATACTTAGTTGAGGTCTGGTTGCTAGCAACAGAAACTGTCTTTTGCTAACATAATCAAGAAGAAATATTTTCAAAGGATATAAAGTAACACAAAAAGGAAAATAAAATTTCAGGAAGGACCAGAACCAAAGATTAAGACAGAGGCAGAGACAGGGAGAGAGAGAAGAAGAGAGGGACAGATTAAGGGAGGGAAGGATAAATAGATTGAGATTAACTAAAGGTGGTGGGTCACAACATTGGCTAAGGTAGGATATAAGACTTTGACTATATCATAGTCCTATCCACACTGTATCCAAAAGGAAACAGTAGCTGTCACCCCAGAGAAGAGTATATTTATATATAAATGGAGGATGGATGCTGGACAAGCAAATATAAGTGATTTTCAATGTTGAAGTTTTACTAAAATACTTTTTAAGCTTTAAATGATTACCTGGTTGTCACTTGCAGACATATTACTCAATGCAATTTAAACTTGGAAATTTACTGACTATTGTGTTCTTGCACTCAGCACCCATATTTATCCACTTCTATGATTTTTCTGCTTTGCAGTGCTTTCCATGCTTATGAAGGTTAAAAAGAACCTTTTTGAAACCCTCTTGACACTAAGCTCTAGAATTGCTTTAAGTTCTATAAGTGAGATGCAATTTCATGAGATTTGAAAGGCAGAAGCATCAGTGAGAGGCCAGTGGTACAGTTTACTTATTTATTTATATCAACAGCAGTAGCAACTCCAGAAACTGGCAAGTATTTGTTTCTCCAGTGGCCAGAAAGCAGTGCATACTACCTGATGACAACTTCATAGCTAGGGGCAACTGAGACATCAGCCAGGCTTTCCTGCTGTTCCCTGATCTCTGGACCACATCTGCTGAGGCTGGATCCTGAACTGAGTGACATACTCCAACTTCCGTTCTAATGGCTTTGCAATAATTTCCTATATCAAAGCCTTTTCTAATAAAGATATATAAAGTAGTTTCTGTTTCCTGCATTTGACCCTAAATGATAGAAATATTAAAAAGCGTATTCAATGTCACTAAAATATAAGCAGAGTTTCATTGGACATTTTTTCAGGGCAATCATATTGATTACCAATTTATGTTTCCTTTTCTTGCACAGATGGCAGAATTTTGTTGAGATACTGAGCAGAGCTTCTGCTGATTTGTTATCTGATTTGCCTACAGGTGGGTTCCATTATTTTTTTGCTCCAGAGAGACCTTCTATTTTCCATAGCTGTTGTTGACTATGCTGCATAGCTTGAGTGGTTTTCTTGTTGGGTTTCATCTCATTTCTCTCAGAAATGTAAACAGCTCCCCAGTGAAGGAAAAATGGGAGTGAAAATCACCTTAATGGCTATTTTTTAGCCCAGTTGGATCATAAAAGGCACAATTCTCCAATTTTATTTTATCATGAGACATTCTCTAGTGGTAGCCCTTAAAGATGAATGCAGAACATTTATAGATGTTAGTATTATTTATTAGAATTTCAGATGCACAGTCACTTAGATCAAAGAAGCTCATAGCTAGGTATTTATTCTACTGATGTCTCAACAAAAAAACCTCTGAGGTGTGTGTGTGTGTGTGTGTGTGTGTGTGTGTGTCTCTGTATGTTTAGTGTAGCTTTTTTTATAAATATTTTTTAAATGGAGACAATAGATCCTCCATGGACTATTTAATTAAATTATAATATAACCAATTGATAAACTATGCAGTTATAAAATAACATGACTGGGTTGCTATAGGAAGATTTCCAAGACATATTATTAAGTAAAAATTATAATGATGCATGGGGCAAAATATTTAGCAATTAGTAACTTTAAAATATGACGTGAAAAAATATGCATTGATATTAATCTGCTGTTACAGTTTTTCTGTTTAGTACATCCATCAACCATTTACTGAATGCCCTATGGATCAAAATACAAAGTACTGAATGTGCGTGCGTGTGTGTGTGTGTGTGTGTGTCCAGGATCAAATAAATCAGTCTGTATCCAAGTAGAAAAACCTAAGAAACCTTACTAGGTATTTCAGACAGAGGGAATTTACTACAGGGGATTGGTTATGTAAGTATCTGAAGGCTGAAAGATAAAAAAGGATATGATGAGTACGCTCATTTCCCAGGGCTGCCATACAAAATACCGCAATCTTGTTGACTTGAAACAATAGAAGTTTATTTTCTCACAGTTCTGGAGACTGGAAATACCAGGGTGTATGCAGGACCAGGCTCTCTCTGAACACTCTAGAGAAGAGTTCTTTCTTGCCTTTTTCAGTTTCTAGTAGCCCCAGGCCTCCTTTGGCTTGTTATTGTGTAACTCCAATCTCTACCTTTGTTTACACAAGGCCTTCTGTCTCCTCTGTGTCTCTATATCCAAGCATTCCTCTTCTTTATCTTATAAAGACACCAGTCATCCCAAGTACGGCCTGCCCTAATCTAGACTGACTGCTTAACTTGAGTACATATGAAATGATTGTGCTTCCAAATAAGTTCAGAATCACAGATACCAGTGATTAGGACTTGAACATATTTTTCAGGAGAATATAATTCAATCCACTACAGGAGGTAATCCAGACATTAGTAACCATAGGAAGCAGCTACCACCTTAAGGCTGAGGGTACATGGAGAAAGGGGTACTACCATCAGAATCTAGTAGCTAGAGTCACCACACAGGTGATTCTAGGGTTTACAAGGAAATGTCAAGCAGCTGGAGGAAGGATTTCAGAGGGGATTCCACGGTGCTGATTCTTGGACTGCAACATAGTTTAAGGCTCTAAGAAGGTGGCTGTGCTTGGATCTCTTACAAAGCATCATGCTGTCAATAAGGAGACCATTGAAGTGACGCCATGTGGCTGTTCATCTGACCTGAGGTTTCACACAGGGCTAGGGCTGAGAGTGCTGAAAAACGTTGTAGCAGTAGCTCTTTTCTGATGCTAGGATCATCTGATAGGTCCTCACATGGCTTTCCTGTGTGTGTGTGTGTGTGTGTGTGTGCACGTGCGTGTGCATCCCTGGTGTCACAATAGGTCTAAATTTCCTCTTCTTATAAGAACATCAGTCACAGTGGAGCCCACCCTAACACCTTCATTTTTACTTAATCACCTCTTTAAAGGCCCCATCTCCAAATTTGGTCACGTTCTGAGATTAGGGATTCAACATATAAATTCTGGAGGGGGGAGGGGCATGGAACACCATTAAGACTACAGCATATGGAATAGCAAAAAAAAAATGTAAAAACATAAATTGAAGTCTCACAAAACTAAATAACGATTACTTTTGGAAATATTATTTCTCTCTGACTCATTTTTCTCATCTCTAAAATGGGAAAATATATAAAAGAAAAATGCAAATCTGCCCTGTTGATCTTATACACTGATCATGACTCTGACAAACAAAATAGGCAACACTAATTTTTTTAGGCAATGCGTCACTTTCCAGAGCTATATAGTTGGAGTTGTTGCATTGTTGCGAGAGCTCACTGCTTACTTACTTAGGCAATGTCTTGGTCTCTTCCCATTTCTGTACTGCTGGATCTATGACGACTAAATGGTCTTAAGCACTGAGTGAGCCATTTTTTCTGCCCCTTCTTTAGCTCCACAGGTAAATGTTACGAAGGTGAAAGAGGGCCATTGTACCGAAACTAAAGAAAGTTACTTTTTATGGATGTGTGGAATTGTGAATTTTCTCTTTCCTAGGATCCCTCTGCTCTCAAAGATGCTATGATAACCTAATTAAAATGACTCATTTTATGTATACTGCCTTTATTAGAAAATTTATATGATTAGGAATCATAAAAATCCTGGGAACTTGTTTTTCAATGTATACATAATTTTCACATAAATACTTAAAATCTATGATTTACACTAATGACAAGGAGAGACTACTTTCTAGCAGGCAAAACTTCCTGGCAAGAACAACTAGAAGATTAGATAAAATACAAAAGAATATTTGTTTGAGACTCTTATTTGGAATTCAAATTAAGCTACCAGATAGAAGAGGGAGAAAAGCTCTCTATGGAAGGAGGTATGATACAAAATCGCTTAATTTTTCCACACAATATGTCCACCTTCAATTAAAAATTGCCAGGGATGACATAAAACAGGACATAGATTTTGAAATAACAGTAATTAATATGTTCAAGAAAATAAATGACAAGATGGGGAATTTTCAGCAAAGAATTTAAATCAAATGGAATATCTAGACTTAAACATATAAAATTTTAAATTTAAAAACTCGACAGATGGGTTTAACAGATTAGACATCACTGAGGAGAGGACTAGTGAACTGTAATATAGTTCAATAGAAAATAACCAGATTGAAGCATGGATGAAAAATTAGGATGTAATACACTAAAAAGTATGTAAGAATCTGGGTGTGGTGGCTCACACAGTCCTAACACTTTGGGAGGCTAAAGTGGGAGAATCAGTGGAGCTCAGGAGTTTGAGACCAGCCTGGGCAACAAGGTAAAATCCTGTCTCTACAAATAATAAAGAAATTAGCCAGGCATGGAAGGAAGTGCATGCTTGTGGACTGAGCTACTTGGGAGGCAGAGGTAGGAAGATTGCTTGTGCCCATGAGGTCGAGGCTACAGTGAGCTCTGGTTACATCACTGCACTCCAGCTTGTGCAGAAGAGTGAGACCGTGTCCAAAAAAAAAGTATATAAGAGATGCCTAGGAAATGGTGACAACATCCAACACACATGCAACCAAAGTCACAGAAAAATAGAAGAAAGAGAATAAAGCTGAAGTTGAAGCAATTGTAACTGAGAAGTTTCCAAAAGCAGTGAAAGGCTTTAAGCCACAGAGCTAAGAAATATGATGAACTCCCATTAAGACAGAAATAAAAAGAGCTTAGGCACCTCTAAACATGGTAAGGTCTAAGGTCTAAAATAGTGTTTCACAAAAATGAAGTATGACCTCAAATTTGAATCTCTTCACTGTGGAGCCTGTGAATGAGAGAGAGGAAGAAGATGACACAGAAAGCAAAAAGCAGAGCTCCAGCATGGCTGCTGACAGGGACAATTCAAAGGAAATGAAGAGTAGCCAAAGAGGCTCATTGACACCACTCAAACATTTCTTTAAGACTTATCTATAACTCAAGAAAACAGAAAAATGGCCACCCTTTTACTAAGAAAAAAAAATACTTATACTACTTACTAATGAGTACTACTTCTATTGAAGGGACAGAAAATCAAACTCGGTTGGCTTAGACAATATAGAGATTTTGGTTTATTTAGCTGAAAATCCTGGCAGCAACAAGGGCTGCAGGAATGGTTTGGGCTGTAGCCATTCAAATGTCAAAATCAAAGATCTGCCTTATTTCTGGCTTTCTGATCTGCTTTGCCTGCTGTTGGCATCATCTTCAGACTCTACATGGTAGTCTCTCCATTAGACATTCTACAACAGCAAAATAGCTATGGTAGCTACAGTCATCACATCTTCACTGCACACTCTTTAGACAGGTGTTCTCCCAAGAAGGAGAGAACTTTGCTATCTAAGAAACTGTAGCAAGTATTTCTTCTCAAATAGAGGCTCAGATTGAGTTTTATGTCCATCATTGAACCAACACTGTGATTGGGATATCAGGATAGGGTTAAACTAATCAGAGATCAAGCCTGGACTTGGAACTGGAGAGTCAGTCCAACCAAACCATAGTGCACTGGGGAAGAGTAAGAGTAGTCACCACAAAGCAAAACATGGTTGCTATCTTCAGAAGGGGATAATGAAGGAGAGAATCACCAGAGGAAAAGAAAAATGAATGCTGAGAAGCACACACACTCACACAAACACACACAAATCAGCTTCAGTCACATGGCATGACCCATAGGGCTTTTAAGCCCTGTGAACACTTCACCCCCTTCTCTTCCTTTTTCATTCTGCCTCACCCAGGCTCTGCTCTCAGTTGTTGCTTGATGCACCAATCACTCCTGCCTCATGGCCTTTGCCTTTGCTATAACATTTTCCTCCAGTGATCTTTACCCATAGATTTTCACAGCTTGCTCCCTTCTTTCTCTCCTGTTCAGGATTTTATTTAAATGTCACTTCTTTAAAGAGGTCATTGGTAAATTCCCTATCTACAATGGCAACTTTCATTACTTTCCACACCCCAATCACTGGTTTTGGTTGTGTCTGTAGCACTTACCACTACCTGACATTCTTTGATGCATCTCTTTGTTCTTACCACTAGAATGCATACTCCATGAAGGAAAGATTCTGTGCTATAGTGCCTAGCATATAGTAAACACTTAAATGTTTGTCACATGAATGAATTAGTTCAAGTCACAGACATAACCCTGCTTCTGTCATCTTAAGGAGAGAACTAAAACGTTCATTGCCTCAGTTTCCTCATCTGTCAAATGGGGATTTCTACCTCACAGGGTTAATTCTTTAGAATATGTGGAAACGTCTGCCATTTATAGATATTTGACATATATGAGTTTCCTTCTCACAAAAGCTTCATTCAGTAGGTCCACTGAAGCCAGAAGCTTTTATTAAAGTCAGTTGTTCTCTACCCTGGTTATACTTTAGAATCACCTAGGGAGGGTAAAAAGTACTGAGCTGGGTTCTCACCTCCTGAGATTCTGACTTAATTGGTCTGGTGTGACGCCTGAGCACTGGTACTTTTCAAAGCTGCCCAGGTGGGTCTAACATGCAGCCAGTGCTAAAGGCTACTGATTTCAAGTCATTAGTGAGAGTAGACAGGAGTGCTGGCTATGTGACTATCAGAACCCCTGGCAACCCTGTAAAACCTGGCCCCTCCCACACCTGGAAATCTCAAGAAGCCAGCTTGGCTGATTTCCTCTGGTACAAATCTTCAACTGGCAGACTAGACAGATGGTTATTATTTATCCTTCTTTGCTGTATTAGAAAGAAAAAAAATAGTTCTGCCTCAGGTTTTTCAAACAATTTTTACATGTGCAAGCCATTATATGCTATTAGGTATTAGGAAGGAGAAAGGGAAGCTTAAAAGAGACCAAATAGGCTAGTATGTGTTTTTTCCTAATGGAAGTTTTAGAAGTGCAGATAGCAGAGAAGAACTGGACGAGGACAAAGTCTAGGTTCTAGATCTTATTTTTGAAAGAATGATGCATTGAACAGTGTCCCAAAAAATGTCTGGCACATCATAATTCATGTTAGTTTCTCTTCTCCAGGCAAGCTCAATTTGCTTAAGGGCATATAATAATAATAACACAACAACAGATAAGAATACCTTGTATTGAGCATCCACCCTGTGTTAGGCATTTTACATAGGGTTTTTGTTAATCTCCACAATATTATTGCAAATTTCTGTAATTTCACAAATTAAAGAATTAGGATCCAAAAGCTTGAAACTGGTAAAGAGAAGAATCAGGGTTAGATGTTAGGTCTGTCTGTTCGTCCTCCTCCCCTTACACCACATACTCCTTCCAGGATCCCTTTCACTGGAGAGCTGTATGATTCAGAGTATTTTGAACCTTTTATCCCCCATATTAAACAGAAAGCTTTTCTTTCACATATTGGTTAAACTAAGCAGTAGCCAATACTACTAGGTGAGAATGGGTTCTCATGACAACTTAAATGTTCAACAGATCAAATAAGATCTGCCTTGGAGGGGCTGCTCTAACTGGATGTCATGACACTCTTCTTTTAGCCACTATTATGGTTTGCTCTATATAGCATCTGGAGTAGACATGAGAGGATAAAGAAATACAGAGAAAAATCACTCCTTTCCCAGGACTGGAAAAGGAATTAGAGAAATGACACTATATATCTAGTGACTTTGTTTTTTAAACTTTGTTTAGGACACATGATCATTCATTTATTCACCATGCATTCATTGGGTATTTAATTCTAATGATGGGTGCTGGGGTTTCAAAGAAGATAATGAAATCACATGTCTTCTTCATCAAAAAATTGAGGGAGAACTTTCGTAGTGATTCATAAGTGTAACGTTAAAAGCCCATCTAACTAAAGGCTTTAAAATTGTTAAGTGAATTTGTGTATTAAAAAAAATATCCTTACCTAGACAACACTATTAGTTAACATTTACTGAGTACTTGCTATGTTTCAGGTACTTGCTTTACACTTTCTAGTCCATTTTACCCTTACAATGGCCTATAGGTATCATTATCCCCTTGATACAGAAGAGGAAACTGAGGCACAGAGAGGACAAGTAATTTGCTCAAGGTCATGTAGCTAACAAAGAAAGAAGCCAGGAATCAATGCCAAGGCATCTAGTTCCAGAGCTTATACTCTCAACCACTGTGTACACTGCCCCCTTTGTTTAAAATACATTGATTAAATAAATAATTTTTACTAAAAACAGTGAGACTCAATTTAGAAATAATATATATTTGTTAATGGCATATCTGAATTATGCACTGAATAATGAAGCTGAGGCTCCCTGAAATCTGCTCTGTACAGTCATCATACAGACTTGCAAAATACCTAAGTCACCAAGTCAGATGGAAGGTACTAAGTGATCAACGAAGGATACCTACAATAAGGCTTAGAGGATTTCCACAGGTCTTAATGTCTGTTTTTTTCCTGCATCCCACGGAAATTTCTTCTATTCATGAAGCAGCAGCCTGCAGCAAGTAATACCTGCAAAACAGAATCCACTGGATTATGGATGAGGCTGTTCAACCTCTTCCCATGCTGTACCACTGACCATTGAAAGGAGCAAGGAAGGAAGATGAGGAAGCTTGTGCCTGGTCCTTTGGGTGCACATGTGTATAAAAGGAGGGGCAGAGGTTCTTAAGAGGTAGAACAACAGGAAGAGGTCCCTTCAACTCCCTAAGTGATAAAAGCCTTTCTTAGTCAGGGCCTTGCCACAGGCTGTTGTCTCTGCTTTTCTGAAACTCTCTGCTCTGTATGCATCACTATCATCACCTTTGACTGGATAATAACTCCTATTCAATAGTGATAATGCCACAAACACAACTGAAACCAGTCCTTCAGTTTGCGAATTTGTGTCACTTCCTCTGAAACCCCCACCACTGTTACTCCGCCCCCAAATAAGTTTAAATATGTTCATATTTTCTCATTTTTTTATTTATAGTAACTTGTAACTAAATAATAATTTAGAGTCATTGTTGGCCATCTACTTCCAAATCTGAGGTCCACTAGGGTGGGAACCAGGTTTTTCCCACTCATCAGTGTGTTCCCATTACATAACACAGTGCCAACCACAGAGCAAAGCCTCCGTTTTTGTTGTTGCTGGTGTATATGTGTGTGTTAAATGAAGAGACCAGGCTCAACCCTTCCATTTTTTTTTTTTTTCCATTCTTGTTCAGGGAAGAATGAAAAGAAAGCCTCTGCCCCTCCAGTGGAGCCTGAAGTCCCTGAGTTGTCTCAAAGCAAAACTGAACATATGGTATGTACCTGGGTATATAGAGGTTGGGGGAAGATTTTCATGGATACTTGGCCTTTTCTCTGATGCTGGACAGGGCCCTCTCCTGTGGGTTTTGGTTTTATCCCAAACCCTTGATGTCAGACTGCCTTTGACTTCAAGATTCTCCTTGGGCAAAGAAGGGAGGCAAAAGAACTCCTCGAGTATGGGTTAGCTTCTGTCCTCGCTGGTTTGCGGAAACCTATTACCATCACTTGGTGATGGGTTTGCCGACTGCCCCAAGAAGCTGGGCTTGTAGCACATCTCTGGATGTCCTTCCAAAGCTTGTGACCAATTCACAAACTGCCATTAAAATAAAGAGTGACTATGAGCTCTATTTTAACATCTTAATTCCAACTTCCAGAAACTGGGGGTGACATTTTCCCCAGACATCACATTTTAAAATGTAATAGCCTCTCTGATTAAAAAGAAGAAAGAAAAAAAATCTGGCAAGGAGTTAAAACCCATTTTAATATTCCCAGCATTTCGCCAGGAGACGTTGTAGACAGAATTTAAAAACAGGCTGAGTTTTTCTGTTGTTGTTTTTTAAATGCCCGGATTAGAACATAATTCATCTTAAAATGACGGGAGGCCTCCTCATGCACTTCACACGTTGAAATATTTTAGAAAATAGTACCCATTTTGGCAAGCCTCTTGCCATGCAAGAAACAACAGCAAATGCTTTTCTCCTTGAGTGTTAAGTCTGTTGTGAATAAGATTATAAAAAATATACTTTGCTCTTTTATTTTGCCTCTTGTTTAAGGAATTTATTGCATCTCTGTGATAATTGATTCTTCTCACATTCCCATACAAACAGAATTGATTGCCCCACTTATTAGAAAGGGAAACTGAAGCAGGAAGTTGGTAAAGCAAGTTTCCTATTGTCCCTGAGAAAAATCACTCATTTATTCACTTATTCATTTATTAAACATGTCTTGACAACCTACTGTGTTGCAACCACTAGCCAGATCCCAAGGATACCTTAAAAACTATCTCACACAGGCCCAGCCTCTGGATCTCTATTAGAGGTGATACTGAAACAGACATAGACAACATCCAGTAGGAATGCTGTGATGGATTGAGGGACTACAAGGAATTGCCTCTTGCCCTTCCTGGGGCTGTTGGTGAAAGCTTCCCACAGGAAGTAAACAATTAGCTGAGTCTTGAAGAATGAGTAAGAACCCAAACAATCAAGGCATATATGGCAAGAAGGGCTTTTAGAACTGAGGTAACCGCATTTTAAAGGCAAAAAGGTATAAAACAGCTTCAATTTTTCAGGTCTTTCTGGCCAAAGAAGAAGCTATATATATTTTTTAGTCCTATACACATATATAGGACTAAAAGAAGATAAGCTGGGAGATAAGCAAGACCTAGAATATAAATGGTTTTGTGTGCCAAGCAAGGAATGTGAACTTCAGCTTGATACAGTGGGACCAAAGCAGTACACGGTTTGTTAGTTACTTTCTTAGTTACTTGCTTGAGCCTGATTCAAGTCCCTACAAATCTCCCCTTTCCCTTGTCTTCAGTGGTCAAAGAGTGAGTGTTAAACTATCTAAAAAATATAAAACTACTTAAAATTAATTTCTCAGATCCCAGGCCACCTGTAATCTCTCTAAACTCATCCATCAAAATGTATGCAAATGTGCATTAGTCTGGTCAGATTTCCTAAAGCTTTCATCTGATTTCTAAAGTGGTTCAATGCTTTAAACAAAGTATAAGAATCACTACTCTAACTTACTATATAAAAACTTTCTGCTTTTCCCAAAATTGATTCTATCAAAGTAGAATTCTTTTTATAGGAATTCCTCAAAACATACTCATTGTTTGTCATCCATGTGAGTACAATTTCATATAGCAATCCATGATCTCAAACAAAAGAATTCTTTACATTCCCCAGCAGCAGCTTAATCCATGTTTGTTAACCAACCCAGAACTTGGCTTCTTACTGCACTTACCATTCTTTAAGACTCTGGGATTCTCACAGCTTATATGTGAGAAGTTTGAGACAAAGGTACAAAATTGGAAAAATTTAGACATTTGAAAGTTGGGGGAACACAGATGGTATACAAAAGTTAGAGGCATAATTTTATGGTGAATTAGTTAAGAATATTTAGATTGCAATGAACAAAACCAACTGTACTAGCTTAATTTATTGGAATAATAGAGAAGCATATTATGCTCCCAAAGCACAGAAATGCAACAATGAACTAAAACCAGAGATTCTAACACCAAGACTTCCTATATCATTTTTTCTTCTCTCTGTTGTCAGCTTCATATTCTTTCTCCACATACCAGCTTTTTGTCATTTGCAGTGCACAAAATGGAAAGCCTGCTCGAGTTCCAGTATCTCACACAGAATCGCCTCCATTTTTCTCTCACAAATAGTACCAAAATTCCTGGAAAATGGGTTTATCAGCTCATTTTGCATTAGATGCCCAGTCCTAAACTATGCAGATAGAACATGACAGTTCTTTCTACAGCTGTGTGGATCAGCAGGAAGGGCAATTTCTGCAAAAGGTGGGCTGGGCAGATCAAATAATAGATGCCCACTCTCTGCCCATGGTAAATGTCAGGATGCCTTATATGGCACTGCTGGTGCTGACATGTCTATTAAATTCTAAAACACCTCTATTTTATACTGGCCATGAGGTTAGGACACTAAGGTGAGCTAGCCTATATGCCCTGCTTCTTGTCTTGAGTCTACTATAAGACGTGTGTGATCTTAGTAAACTGCTTGTACTTTCTGGGTCCCAGCTTCCTTTGCTAAATGAACAGGACTGGCAGACTAAGAGTGCTTTAATGTCCTTTAAAATAGATCCACAAGCCTAAGATAATATCACTATTGTTTCAATCATCTTTTGTCAAACACCTCAAACTCATGAGCCAGAGGCATTTCTATCAAGAGGTATGAGCACTGTCTGAAGTCCACTAGTCTGTACTCCACTAGTACAAAATAGAGTAGAACATCATGAAAAGTTTCAGGCAGTTACAAAGTTCTTTGCTTCATGCAAGTCAAAAATGAAAACTGAATAAAAATCATAATGTCACCCTTCTCTTTAAACACACACACTTAACATGTTTGTATCCAGTAAGATTTGGCAGATATGATCTTATGGCACTGAAGATTTGAAGCTCATCCTCTTAGCTTTCCAAAGTCAAACCTTGCAATAAATCTTGCTAGTTGTGTGGCCTCATCTTCGGCCAAAAGACTGGAGAAGCTCTGGGTGGTGAATGTGTTGCCAATGCTTGTGTTGTTTTGGTAGAAAACTCCAGAAGAGGAGCTGCAGCCAGAAAACTCTCCTGCTGAAACTTCAGCCTCCAAAGATCCACTGAATTCTTTAAAGATCAGGCCAGTCTCCCAGTCCTTGGTGAACCCAGCCATGAAGAACGAGGTTGAAGAATGTGAAACGTGGATAGACAGGTTCCGGAAGCTGGAAAACGCCCTCTACCTGTGTGATCTGAGTAACACAGGTGAAGTATGAATTTTAAAGCTGGCATAGCTTTCTAATTGCGGTCTAGTCTAAAAGCAGGCACCTCATTTTCTTTCACCTCTTAAACAAATGATACAGTTAGTATATAAACCACATGCCCTGCACTGTGCTGAACACATCGGGAAATATGAAGATGAATCAGACCCGAATCCCATATCAGGTTGATTATAATTTCTTTGTGTTCCCGGTGCCTTCTGCACCCTACTGCCAAAAAGCAAACCCGCAATCCAATTTTATAATTCCCCTGATTAAAATACTTCAGAGACACCACACTGCTAAGAGAATGAACTCCAAACTCCTTACCAAGGCTGTCTGGTCCCTATCCACCTGGCCAATCTCTTCTCCTACTATTGATAGTCTCTCAGCATGTCCTGCCCAGTCATAATGAATAACTTACCCTGCCTCAAGCAGGCCTTGTCTCACACGTGCTTGTGCCATTTCTAACTCCCAGCCTTTCATCTGAGCTGTTTGTTTCCCCTCTACCTACCCCACCCCCTGCCAACTCCCCATCTTGTCCTCTTGCTAATCAATGTCTTATCATCTTTTATGTTTGAATTCAAACACGATTCCTCTGAGACTCCCAGACAGATCTAGGCCAACTTTCCTATGGCCTCTTAGGATTCTTTACCATTCATCATCATTTGCGACATATTGTATATTTTTATTTAGGGACTTACTACTATCTTGCCAGTACACTATATTCCTTTTTTATCCCTGGCACCTTGCATAGTGTATTTATTTTAGGAAACAAATACGTGAGCCAATGTGCATAAACAACCAAATTCAAGGTAGATGGTGATAAATGTTTTAGAGTATGCTATGTGGGCATTCAGAGAAAGGTGAATTTCTTTCTGGTGGGGTTATCAGGGAAGGCTCTGTTAATGTTAAATCGATCACTAAATTTAAAATGCAGTTTGGTCACAAAGGAATGAAGTAGCCTTTTCTGGCAAAGGTGCAAACACTGTGTGTGAAGCTCAGTGCAAGGTGCTCAATATAGGGGCTATTAAAAAGAATACTAAATGATAAAGATGGAAATAGAGAATGGGGCCAGATATTGAAAGATTTTCAATGCCAGACTAAGGAATTTGGAGTCAATTCAAAGATAATGAGAGCACAGAGAGTTTCTAAGCAGAGTAGTGGTGGATAAAGTTGAACCTCAGAAGGATCCTTGATGACTATGTGCAGAATGAAAGAGAAAGTAAAATAAGGGAAAGTGGAAAGGAGAGAGAGAATGAAGTCTAGAACCAGGTCGGAAACCTGGGAAAAGAGGGAGCAGATAGAAAAGCACATGGTCTCAAACTGTCATATTTACTTACCTAGCGTGGTTCATGAACAGTTGGTGTACACATTAGCACAGTCTAGAAGTAACCATATGGCAATAGCCATGTCTGTCTTTTCATTCTCCTTGTGTGTTTTTGTTTTGCTTTGAATTTCCAAGGCAACTTAATTCTAGACCACAGGAAATATAATTGCTATACCAAATCCAAGGACTCTTAATAATTATACCAAAGAGAAATAAAACCTGAAAATTTTAACTGAAAGACTCATCTGGTTGAATTATAAAGTTATTTATTAAAAATATGTTATGAGCCCAACACTGTGTTAGAGGGTGAACCAAGAGGAAAACCAGAAAGGGTGAGACATGATCTCTGGCCTCAAGGAGCTTACCTTTAGGTAAGACACAGAGACTTGCAGTAGTTCAATGCCAGTAAACAAACAAAGAAAATTAAAATACAGCATTAAGTATTACAAATGAAAGCACGTGACTAGGCGTGGTGGCTCATGCCTGTAATCCCAGCACTTTGGGTGGCTGAGGTGGGAAGATCACTTGAGTCCAAGAGTCAGACAAATGAAAGCACAAATGACAGTTCAAGAGTCAAAAGGAAAGTGAAGGTCTGAAAGGAGGCTCACCATCCAGTGCAAGGCAGGGACCCAGAGAGGGCTCCACAGGAGAGAAAGAACTCGAGCTGAGACTTCAGATGACATAGACTTTGGATAGTCAGACAGGTCATTCCTAGTTTGACGTCGTCTTCTACAAAAGTTAAAAGGTGAGAATGTGTACGATGGAGAGGAGAGTAGGAAGACAGGATTGGAGGTGCACATTGGATGCATAGTAAAGTTGAGAACCTATTATGAACCCTGAGGGATAGGATGAGGCTTCATTCTGTACCCAATATCCAGAGATACATGCAGAGGAGGGCATAATGTAAACTAAGATGGATGATTTAGGGACAGTACTGGAGAGAAGGAGATGAAAAGTTGTTGAAATAACCCTGAGTCTAGCTATTCATACCAGTGCTATGAGAGTGGTGATGAAGTTACAAGCAATAACAAAAAAAAAATTTTTTAAGACACTTCTAAAGAAACAAATGCTTAGTTGTGACAATGGATGATGGATCATAAACTTCGTTGCTGAGAGACTCTCCAAAGACTGGGAGCTTTCTCGTACTTCTGAACCGTTCTGAGGAAAAACGGAGTTTGTTGACTTTGGAGGCAGATTGCGACAGATTTGAAATGCCTTTCTCATGGCCTCTTCACTGTTTATGCCTGTTTTCTCTGTTTCCATGAAATTCATTAGTTCCTCAACAGCCAAGGGATGTGTCAGCCAGATCTGGGAAAATCTACAACTCTTAATGAGGAAAGAGGATTAACTGAGGTCACTTTGTTGGTTTATTAACCCACAGTACTTAGCAGACCACAGTAGCCCCATTCTAGATGCTGAGCAGATGATACCTGCTCTGCCCATAGATGAATCACTGTTCTTTATTATGTGCAAAGAAATATGTAGGCCAGCATGTTCTTCATCCAGGATGAGGACAGGCTATCCATCATCACATCAGTGTTTCTGGGAACCTACTGGGCTTATTCTCTAATGGGGGTTGTCAACAAAATAGCCTTGAGGAGAAGGGATAAGGAATGACTATGAATAACTGGTCATGTTTTCTAAAGAAAAAAAGAGTGGTTGAGATAAATGTCTGGGTGAATGTTGCATCTGGAATTTTCCCAGTGAACTAAAGGCTAGATAGAAAATGTTTTAGAGTTCAAGGAGGAAGAATGCAATGAGAGCCTTAAAGAAATCCCTCTGCATGAGTCTGGACTTTACATACACTACATCACTAAATCCTCACATCAACAACATGCTGAAGGATTAGTATCCTAATTTACAGAGGAGAAAGCCAAGCTCAAAGTAGTAAAATAACAGCCAGGAGGATGGTGAGCCATACCTCAAGCCCAGCTCTCTGTGAATCTCCTCTACACCCAAGTCCTATGACATACTAAAAAGAGCACAAGATTTTGCTTTTTTTTTTTTTAATCAGAAGATTTAGATTCAAATCTGGACGCCACTAGTTGTTGATCCATAAAAGCCAGTCACTTACATTCTCTGAGCCTCTTTCCTCATCTATAAAATAATACTGATAATAATGAAACCAAATTCCCAGATTTAAGAAAGGATCAAATGAGATAAGAGATTGAAAGTTCTTTGTAAACTGTACAGTGAAGTGGGTTTTAAAAAGGTTCTTATGGTCTAGTGTGGTGGTTTATGCCTGTAATCCCAGCACTTTGGGAGGCTGAGGCAGGTGGATAGCCTGAGATCAGGAGTTCAAAACCAGCCTGGCCAACATGGTGAAACCCCATCTCTACTGAAAATACAAAAATGAGCCAGGCATGGTGGTGGGTGCCTGTAGTACCAGCTACCTAGGAGGCTGAGGCAAGAGCATCACTTGAACCTGGGAGACCTGAGAGATGGAAGTTGCAGTGAGCCGAGTTCGCACCACTGTTTTCCAGCTTGGGTGACACAGTGAGACTCCTTCTCAAAAAAAAGAAAAAAGAAAAAAAGGGTTCTTACTATTTCTTTCATTTTGGTTTTGGTTGGAAAAGACAGACTTTCCAACACTAAGATGGATTGTAAGGTCTATTTTATGCAGCTGTTCTGGGCATCCCCTAATGACAGAGTAAATTAGATAGATGCAAATTTCATTCTTTTGGACTTTTTGCTTGACTCTGGGAATCTTCTATCAAGGATAGAGCTTAGAAGACAGAAAATACCACTGTGATTCCTGGATGTATTTTTAACATAACTTTTCATTTTTAATTAAAATATAAACTAAATGATATAAATGTTAATAATAATCAATTATATATAATGTTTATATATTTTAAATAATATTGATGATATTATTATAATCACATTATTGAGTGCTTACTAATACTGGATACTGTATGAACTTAATATTTTATTGATTTTCACACAATTTAATTAGCCCTATTTTCTCTTTCCTCTTTCTTTACCTCTTTTTTTTCTTCTTCTGACATTTATTTACTTGTTTATTTGAGACAGGAGCCTCACTTTGTTGCCTGGGCTGGAATGCAGTGGCATGACCATGGCTCACTGCAGCCTCAACCTCACAGGCTCAAATGAGCCTCCCACCTTAGTTGATGCATGCCACCACATCCAGCTAATTTTTCTTTTTCTTTTTCCTTTTTTTTTTTTTTTTTTTTTTGATAGATATGGGGGTCTTGCTTTGTGATACAGGCTGGTCTTGAACTCCTGGCCTCAAGCAATCTTCTCATCCTTGACCTCCCAAAGTGCTGGGATTACAGACCAGCCACCACATCTGGCTACTTTCTTGCTTGTTAGGCAGGATCTTACTGTGTCACCCAGGCTAGAGTGCAGTGGCTATTCACAGGTGTGATTATAACACACTATAGCCTTGAACTCCTGGGCTCAAGAGATTCTCCCATCTCAGCCTACTGAGTAGCTGGAGATATGGGTACACATCACTGTACCTGGCTAATTATCTCTATTGTAAAGCTGAGGAAACTGAGCCTCAAAAGTTAAAGTAACTTCCCCAAGGTCTTATAGTCATAAACTTATTCAAAATCCACACCTTGTATTTCCAGAGGCAGGGTATGAGGAAATGGCCAGAGGAAGCAAACCTAGACAGGACTGAGAACAGCCATCCTAACCAGAGAACTCCGAAGATGCAATTGGCCAACTCAAAGAATAAGGTTTACATAAATTAAAGGACCACTGTTTTGATGAGAGAGGTAGAAAATAAATAGGCAATGGACAAACCAGAACAGAATAGAAAATAAGCATACTGGAATAGAACAGAATAGATTAGGACCCCACCTGTTGTGGCCTACTGTTAAGAATAACCATTAGAGAATAGTTGAGAGGGTGGCACCATGCTCAATAGTACTTGCACATTTGAAAACGAGTAATATTTTGTATCTTAAACTGAGATGATTGGTACCTGCCACTGCCCAACTCTAATGGACTAGTAGTGGCTTTCTGCAAAGTGACAAGTCACTGCCTCTGGATTCTTTAAGGGAGAATTTCACTATCACTCTTACAGTTATGCACACATAAAGGAGAGTAAAGGAGGTCAGGCACCGTGGCACATGCCTATAATTTCAGCACTTTGAGGCCTAGGTAGGAGGATTGCTTGAGCTCGGGAGTTCAAGACCAGTCTGGGCAACATAGTGAGACTTCATCTCTACAAAAAATAAAAAAGTTAGCTGAGAGTTGTGGCACATACCTGCAATCCCAGCTACTCATGAGGCTTAGATGGGAGGAGCACTTGAGCCCAGGAGATGGAGGCTACAGTGAGCCATGATTGTGCCTCTGCACTCCAGCCTGGGCAACAGAGTAAGACCCTGTCTCAAAAAAAAAGGAAGTAAAAGGATGACCCCTACTTGAAGGAATCTCTTCGCCACCATTTCGTAATATACTGTAGTGGTTAACCTTAGACAATCAAGAGACTTGCAGTCTCTCGGCTTTAGTTTCTCCCTGTATGAAATGGGTTATTGTAAGGATTCTATTAGTTATTATTGGTGAAATGCTTGGAGTAATTCCTGGGACATAGTAAATTTTATATTTAAATATTGGTTATTATCATTATTATTGTACCCCGGTTAATTTTCTGCATAACTTCTCTCTCCCGTGGGTCAGAGAACTTCCAGAGGTAGCGTAACAATTCTCTAAATCTCCTATATTCCCAAACACAGTATCTGACACACAGAAACTCACAATTAGGGGCTTGTATATGACTTATTGATCTTCCGTGATGCCGTGATCCACACTGCAATTCCTCCCAACAACCATCAAAATCGACTTACCCAAACTTAATGTGGAAAGCATACTGACATTGGTACTGGTGTATATAATGTGTAGGTACCAGAGCACATCCGCAATCATACACGTTACCACCTCCATTATGCAGATTCAAACTCTGAGCTATGAGAAGTTAGATGCTGGCCGGGTGCAGTGGCTTGTGCTTGTAATCCCAGCACTTTGGGAGGCCGAGGCGGGTGGATCACGAGGTCAAGAGATCAAAACCATCCTGGCCAACATGGTGAAACCCCGACTCTACTAAAAATACAAAAAAATTAACTGGGCGTGGTGGCATGTGCCTGTAATCCCAGCTACTTGGGAGGCTGAGGCAGGAGAATTGCTTGAACCCAGGAGGTGGAGTTTGCAGTGAGCTGAGGTCCCACCACTGCACTCCAGCCTGGCGCCTGGTGATGAAGTGAGACTCTGTCTCAAAAAAAAAAGGAGAAATTAGATGCTTTACTTGTGATCACAGAGCAAGCTGGAGGGAGTCACAGTACAGTCAATCCTCTGCATCTTCGCATTCTGTATCTACAGATTCAACCAACCATATATCAAAAATATTTGAAAAAGTAGAAATAAAATACAATATTGTGACAACAAAAATAATACAAATTTTAAAACACAATATAACAACTATGTACATATCATTTGCATTGTATTAGGTATTACATGTAATCCAGAGATGGTTTAAAGTACACAGGAGAATGTGTATAGGTTAGATGAAAATACTACTTTATTTTATGTTGGGGGCTTGAGCATCCATGAGTGTTGCTATCAGTGTTGGGGAGACGAATATCATGGACCTAATCCCTGCGGATGCTAAGAAACATCTATAAATACGTTTAGAGAAATGTATTTTAAATATAAGCTGTTTAATCCCTCCATATTTCGGAATGTGTTTGGAGACTTTAACAAGATAAAAAGTAATCAGGACAATTAGCGATTACTTTTACTAGGCAGCCCCAGTTTTTCAAAAATTGGCCATTGGCTTTACAAGTTTCATAGCTACAAAGAAAAGTTTAAGTTGGTTTAGAATTTATCTACGGCTCTTACTGGATCTCACCTTGTTCTCTCTCCCCTGAAATCACCCTCAGATTCTTCCTGAAATCTGTGATGCATACCCACAACTACAAATATTTTTAAGATGTCACTTGATTTTTAAGAAGCTTAAAGTTGCAAAATATTAGCATTTAGTCTTTACCTGGAAGTCATTCAAGCTAATACATAGTTTTCTCTGTTTTCCCTCCGTCCTCTTTAAAAATCCTTCCACCAACCCAATCTAATCACAGGAGTTCTGGAGAAGGAACGAGCCAGACGCCTCATTCACAACTACAATCTCATTTACAACCTGTCCCTGAGCCCTCGGAAAATCGACCAGGCCTTGCGCAGATTCCGTTTGGGAGAAAATATGCTCTTGGAGCCAGCACTGCGGTACTTAAAGGAGCTATGATAACAAGCCCATATTGTGAGAACAGATGTTTCCCTTATCTCCCTTTTTACCCAGACACGTGTTTCTCCCCAGCCTGAGTGCAGTGGCGGAGGCATTGTCAGAGTGGAGGCCAATGCAGCTATTGTAGATGCTTTTGATTTGGGCTTGGTTTCTGGCTGTGATGCTTGCACATAAGCAGCTCAAAGTGATCAAAGGAAACCTAGTTTTGTCTTCTGATGTGGCTAAAACCCAGCTACTTAGAATCTCCTTCTGTTTTAATAAAGCTTATTATTAATATTACATGTTTGATTTTTTTCTACATTGCTAATCAAACGATGTTGTTTTGAACCCCACAATTCCACATAGTAAAAAACACATTACTGTTTCTTCTTCTTCTACTTCTGCCACTTCCCCACAGTGCCTGGAACCGAGTAGACCTGTATACATCATTTTGGATAGGTAAATCATCTTTTCTCCTGGTCATTATTCTAGGATGGATTTCCATATTAGAAGAAAAATAAAAGTATTACCAATACATTATCTTAATCTTAAGCAATTGTAGAAAATTTTCAAGGGCGATTTTCTGAACAAGTCCACTGTTTTCTATAGTACAAAACTTAACAATGTTACACTGTCTCCAGGGATATTTTCCCAAAGTCCCAGATGGAAGTTTTGAGGAAGGACTCCTTGGGACAAAGGGTTTTGGGAATAAGTAACATCCTCTGCTCTGTCTGGGCAGGAAACCCAGGTGAAACTTTTCACCAGTTCCCATAGTTCTTCTGTTCTTAACATCCCCCTGACTTTGAACCTCCCACCCAGCACAAGCACACAGTTACACACGTATCACACCATCCAGGTAGCATGAGCTCATTGAAGAACACTGGCCTGGAGCTTCAGAGACAATGTGCTCCTAGCACCATCACTAACACTGGGTGACCAGGGTGCTGAGTTTCCAAACTGTGTGTGAGACAAAATGAACAAGTTCGGTCAAGGGAGAAATCAAACAGAAAACCCTCTGAGTATCCATTTCTTTCCATTTTATAAAATGAGGTGCTTCGTGTGCTCTTATGGACAAAACCTCAAGAACAAAACTATGTGGGTCCACTAAAATCAGTGCTCTTTAAGGATCTTCTAGTCTGACCTGCTTTGGTTTTTATAATCCTTAATTTGCCCAGAAAAAATGACTCTCGAAGCCAACTGTTGAAGCCGACCTTTCTAGAACCCTTGGACTTTTTAGCTGCCTTTTAGTTCAAAAGAGTAAACAAATAGATATAGCTTTTTCATTCTACCAAAATACCAAGTAAGGGAAATTAGAACAGCAGGTCAAAAAACTTAATATGCATTGAGCAACTGTTGAGTTTAAGGAACCTGACGTATGTTGTTTGGTCCATCTCTGACAATTCAATAAGACAGGTTTCACAGCTGTTTCACAGATGAGGAAACAGGCTCAGAGACGCGAAGATAAGAAAACTGTTGGGTTGTGCCAGTTAATATTTGTCAGAAGGTTAGTGCTTCCAGGGAAGGACTGGTCAAATGATAGGGAGAAGGTCCCACTTTACCCCTCTTTTCTGAGAGTAATGGGGTTTGGGTAAAAGAAGGCCCTAAACCTGAAGTTGGGGTTATTAGACAAAATCATAAGGTCCTGAACAGCAATGATTTTACCTTCTCCAATTCTTAGTATCAAGTATCTAGTATAGTTTCTGATAAGTAGCCTCAGCATCACCAAGCAACACAAATGCAGGGGCTGCATTTACACAGGAATACAGCACGAAAAGTGCCCCAGAGCCATGTGACCACAGGTGATGCATAACCTGTATCCCATAGTCTTGGCAAAATGAATACTTCTATAAGTGGGGTAACTTTTGCCAGATCTAGATCCACAGTCACCCAACCACCTCGCCCCCACTCCCGTATTTCCACAGAGAGTAGAAGAAGAAGAAACAGGCTTCGAAAACAGCCAAAATCTAGCTCTTGCACTTAGTGGGTGGCAGCCTTGACAAGTTGCTTACTCCCCTGCAGTTCAGTTTCTTCATCTATAAAACAGAAGCAATTGCATCTGTTTGCAGGATTGTTATAAACACTGAGAGCAATTTCTTTTGGACAGTTCCTTGCATGCAGTAGAGATAGACCTTTTTTATGTCCTTTCTCTTAGGTGCTGAACATTCAACAAGTTTCCAAATAACTAAACAATGGACTATGTGAAATGACATAGGGAAGTCAGGCCACTACTACAGCAAGAACAAATTTTGAGATGTATCTGCCTTCTAGAGTCAAGTACCAATTACTTTTGCATCATCTCCTATCTGTAATTCTCCACTATTTTACCCAAGGGGTGTGTGTGTGTGTGTGTGTGTGTGTGTGTGTGTGTTAAAGAAAAATTTATTCTGACTTGTTAAAGTCATAAGGCAGGTTTTATTCAGAACTATCCCAATAGTTATTGGAAGTACTGCAGTAGAGTTTTCAGCAGGGGAGAGATAGTGGGCTCAACTCTAAATACAAGAAAAAGTGGGAATTATAAAGAAAGGGCACTGGAGAGGGGTGTTGGTGCATAGAAAATTACTAAGAAATGCTAGGAAGTCATTATGCTTCAGAATATCATAATGACCTCTATGCTGGAACTTCATGGTTTAGTTAAAGAAAGTCTGTTACTTTTTACCCCTTTTTCTCAGAGTTGTGTCATTGTGAATTTCTAATAAACAGTGTGTTGGGAAAGTCCAGTGTCAGTATTGACCAGTGTCCTCCAACAAAACCTTCCTAAGTGGGTGTCTGTGCATAGTGGACTGGTTAACCTTCAGTGCACTCTGGAGATGCTTGTGTCAATTGGGTATGTCCCAAATCCCCCAAAAACCTCAGCCTTTAAGGATGGAAAGGGCACAGAATGACAAAGGCAAGATCTCACCAGCTGGGCAGACTCTTTCCCAGACGTCTGACCCTGCACGAGTCACTCCTTACCCAAAAGCTTCATTCATATTAAATGAGATAATACATGCAAATTGCCTAGCACTATGCCTGGCACATAGGCATGCTCCATAAGGGAAAACTAGCTTATTTGAGTCTTATACAGCATTTCGTTTTACCCCGTCCAATTGGCCAAATGGTTGAATGCCTTTTCCAGGTACAGACATCTTCCAAGCCCACAGATGGTTCACCGACTGTGTGGTCCTGGAGGGCACAGAATATGTGTTCTCCATTCCTGTTTCTCATTCTCTTTTCTATACTTACTCCACAAAGTAAACCAACAATGTTAGCATTACCTGGCCTATTGTACAGGGGAAAAACAGAGGCTCAGGGTAGTATATGTACTTGCCTAAGGACTTATAGCTATGAGTGACTGAGCCAGGATCAGAAGCAAGTCTTACATAACTACAAGCTCCTCAATGCTGTGGTGGCCACAGCTAGAGCAAATAACCCATACAATTCTCTTTAGCATGTGTGGTCTGTCGCTCCCAGCAAGTCTGGAGGTGACTGCAAGCCAGGGCCAACATCTTCCTGGCTCTGTGACCAACGCAGAGTTCAGACGCACTGCTGAGTGGGCACCTGGCAATCATCTGCTGAGTGGAGCCCCCACAGGAACATTTGGAAAACCCAGCAGCTTTTTGCCCTCTTCTCATGATCCATCTTCATCACTGCCTTCTGGGAACTGAAACAAAGGCGGTTTTCAGGACTCTGGCGTGGTATGTTCACACTATCAGAAGCACAACTGTAGAGCCGGTGCAGTCCAAAGAGTTTGCTAAGTGCTTGCTGACTCTTCTGTGGAATTTCCCAAGATCATTAAGAGAAACAATAACAGGGGATTTGATATTCTAATTGGGATCAGAAATTGGACAGCTTTGGAGCTGGCCAGAGAACTGTGAAGCTCTGAAAACAAATACTCTCCTTTCTTCTCTCCCTCTCTTCACTTCCCTCTCTTCTAAGAGCCTTTCAGCTACAGTTCCAATGCTCCTTAGCAACAAAGGCGGGGTTCCCAGAGTCGGGTGTGCCTTAGGAATGCCAGCCATTCCTCTCATTAGCATTCAGGGACCCTCATCTGCCTGCACAGTTGGCCACGGGACTGTGCAAAAGGCAAAGTGGCTTGTGGGAGGCCCAGCATTAAGCATGGTTTTTTGGGAAATGGGAAACCTCCACAGAGTTTCCAAACAAAAGGCATCAATATTATTTGTGGAGCCATCAGACTGCCTGGGGCACAATATGGCTCTGGCTGGGCCACATGCTCTCTCTCCAGGTTCTGTGTGAAGGCTTAGTGGGGCTCCCCAGATACCTCTTGGCCAAGAATGCTAGCATATTGGAATGTCTCACACCTCTTCTTTTCTCTCCTGTCCTGTCTCTCTCCAGACTCAGTTTACCCAGGATGGACAATGGGTGGATTCCATGGGTGAATTCCAACTGGCAATAGGAGTGCCAGAGGAAGAAGTTGACAAAGGGTAAATGGTCAGATGGTAGGACAATCGCAAACAGATGGTGCTGCTGGGAATGTATTCCAGGCAAATTCACAGGCAGATTGAGCTCTGACAAAGGCTGATCAAGACTTAGCTGGTAAAGAGAAACTGGCGCTTTGAACCAAGCTCTTGCTCAGAACACACACCCCACTATCCCACACTATCTTCAACTGCTATACAAGGGCGACACCTAGCCTGGTTCTGACTCACCCAGATTCCAAAATACTGATCAATAGGCCAATCTCTGGAAGATTACAATCAGCAAAGCTATTTCCCAACATTCTCATAGAACCCACCCTAAGCAGGGTTTCCTTCAGCCTCCCTATGCTTTGACACCGTAAGGGACGTGGATCATGCTACTTGTCATCTTTTGCTCCCTGGACAGCTCCAACTTGTTCTTCTAAAACAAGTCCCTCTTCTAGCCCCCTTTTTCTCTACCCTGTGGCCAAAGAGAATGCAAAACGTGATCACTAATTGTAACAACAACTAACTCTGTGCCTGGCCCTTCTAGGCATCAGGGATAATTAAAAAGAAAGAAGGAAAGGAAACCTTATTTCTGTCCTCCAGAACTGACTTAATTTGGGAGGGATTTGGTGGGGGTGGATTTGGGGGAACAGATGTGTAGGCAAGTGTATCAGTTTGCTAGGGCTACCATAACCAAGTACTGCAAACTGGGCAATTTAAACAGCAAAACTGTATTATTTTGCAGTTCTGGAGGCTAGAAGCCCAAATCAAAGTATTGGAAGGGGTTGATTCTGAGGGCCACAAGGGAGAATCTGTTTATGCCTCTTCTTTGGCTTAATGTCTTCAGTATTCCTTGACTTGTTGAGGTATGACCTTGATCTCTGCCTTCACCTTCACATT